ACCAAAAACTTACCATTGCGGAGTTCAAAAATCCACCTGTCCGCTTATCGGGCGACCCGAACTCCACCTCATTCTCAAGCATCTTCTCATACGGCGCCTTTATATCACTTGGCCTCGTCGTCGTGTAAACCACCCTCTTCGTCGGAGCCACACTTCTTATCAAAGCCTCCGAATCTTGAAACTTACTAACCCCACCACTGACTTCACTTTCTTGCTCACCCTGCTCAGACTTCAACTTGAACATAACATGAACCCCATCAACCTCAACCTTCTGCACCTGGTTACTATTAATCTTACTCAAAAAATCACTGTACGGCACGCTAATAAACGTTGTCGGAGTCCTCGGCTCCGACCCTGGTAATGGAATTCCAGGTCTAAGCAACCGCATAACGAAAATCACAATACCCAATTGCAAGAGCAAGATTCCAATCTCTTGGGCTTGAACTATGGGCTGCCACCGCCATTTCCCTCCTTTGGACCACCACCAATTCGCTTTCTTTTGGCTCTCTCTGCGCCGATTCGGAGCCGGCGAGCTCGAATTGGGCTTGTTGTTGTTCACCCCTTGGCCCTCGCTCGCCTTCGCCTCGCTCTTCTCTCCTGAATCGTTGTCCTGACCACTCGCCGAAACCCTAACCGTCCTGAACCCTCCATGGCTCTTCCAGAGACTGAACCTCTCCGAAACTCTCACAGCTCTGCCCTGTCCGTACAAAGCGACTGACTTGGACGCCGCCGTATTCGAAACAACCCGTCTCGCTTCCGGGTTGAAAACCTTAGCTTGACCACGAACGAAGCCCAATCCATGGCGGCAGTGATAAGCATTAGAATTCGAATTTAAGCAGAACCTACTGTGGATTGTTGGACGTAAATACTCTACCGACGACATCCCAAAACCCTACAAAATCCAAATTCACAATTCAAAATTTCATAAATTTATATATACACGTTCGTATGCGCCCTTCCAATACAGAACTAGATTTCAGTTTCGTCTATGGTGCTTGCTTCAAGCCTATGACCATTAACCGCTAAGGCAAAGGTTGGAACTTTGGGACACAGAAGAGAGAGAAAAAAACAGAGTATATAAAAGAAGGAGATCAATTTGGAATTTGAGCCGTCGGATGAAGAAGGCGTTGGAGATCATAACCGTCAACTTTCTCTCCCCGGCCTATTTTAATTTCTGAGCCGGTTATCGTTATCCAACGTTTTTCCCCATAATGGGCTGGGGTTCTGTGTGTCGCGTGAGAAGATAGTTTGTGCTCTGAAGTCGTTTACCGCAGCACGTGTCGTAAAACCACACCAATATTTTTCGGCTTTTGGGCCGTGCCACTAGCCGATTGCTGGTTGGTGGGCTGGGATAGTAGAAATGGATTGGGCCTTGACTTGAGTGATGCACAAGTCAATCACAACCGCCACTTCTTCAAATACCTGTTTCTTATTTTGTCTTATTGTGGTTTGAGTGATAGAGGCTGAAGGAGAAAAATTTAGAAAGGTGAAAAGTCCTGAAATAAAGGATCTTACAAAGCCACGAGCCAAGCAAAAAATTAAGCTGCTAAAATTGGAAAAAACCCCAAATGCATAGTTGCAGGGAACAAAGAAAAAATTTGTGATACTTCTTTGTTTTGTAGGCAAAGTTTGACCCTTCCTTTGTTTGAGAGAGAGAGAGAGAGAGAGAGAGAGAAAGAGCTATGTTTGCTCTTTGTGCCTCACATTTCTTATGGTTTTCTGTCAAAAATACCATCCATCCCCAGTGCTGAATCTTTTTTTCTTGAACAAAACCCGATTTTCGTCTAATATTAAAATGCGCATTGCCTTTTGTTTCCGCATTTCTCAATTCCTAGTACCACTGCCTTAATTGTGCTAGGTTTGAATGTATATGTTGTAGGTTTACAGACAAATATTCACTTAGTTTGTTTTGGTTCTGTTTTTTCTTTAGATTGTTCAGAGAGATAGATATGGCTGTTGGTGCAGAGGCTATACTAGTTTGTGTGTGGGGAATTCTTCATTTTTCCATGAAGACTACTAGTTTATGTGTACAGAAGCATCCATTTGTTTCAGCCATTTTGTTTTTCATCTACTTCCTTTATGTATTTGTCAATCTTTTTGTCTTCTGGTTTCCATTTCTGGTCTGCATTGCTGCTCTGCTTAGAGTTTTTTGGACTTCTGGAGGACTCACAATCCTAGAGGTCAAACGGGATGAGAAACGGATTAATGATCGAATTCCATGTAAAAAATCTGAATCTGTTCAAGATGATGTTGCTGTTAATCGAGATGGGTGCTCCGTCTTAACAAAACAGAAAAGTAGACGAACAAATGTTGCAAGAAGGTGCACAGAAGAAGGGGATGCACAAGCTGGCAAGGTGGAAAAAGACGTGCCTATATCGACAACTTGGAAAGATAATTTGATCAGTGGAACTGCCTTGGTTGGCAAAAACACCAAGGCAGTCATGGAGGAGAAAGAGAATAAAACTTCCCGTCATGGAGAGATGTCCACTGCTAAAGCACCATCTACTGACAATATTCAACTTCTTGTTGAGCAGGACCAATCTGTCCTAGATTCTGACCTTTCAGATTCTCATCTCTTGTCGTCTGATGACTCAGATGGACAGACTGAAAAATCCGAAGGTGGTGGGATTGATGAAGGAACAGCACAAGAGGATGGGAATAAGGCTGTGCAGTGGACAGATGATGATCAAAAAAATCTTATGGATCTTGGATTTTCCGAGATTGAAAGAAACAAAAGGCTGGAAAGTTTAATTGCCAGAAGAAGAGCAAGAAAGTTATTCAAAATCCAGGTTGAGAAAGGTCTAATTGACTTGGATACTATAATACCAGGTCAAATTGCTCCTATTTTTATTGCAAAAAACAACCCTTTCGAATTCGTGGAAGGCTGTAATGAGATGGACACACCTGGTTCAGCGCCTTCCATTTTGTTACCTATGCAAAATCCATTTGATCTTCCATATGATCCACTTGAAGAGAAGCCGAACCTTATGGCAGATAGTTTCCAACAAGAATTCACAGCAGTTCAGCAAAAGGATGTGCTATTTTGCAGGCATGAGAGCTTCTCTTTGGGGGCTTCTTCTTTCCCATTAGAAACCAGGAAGAAAGCAATGGATGTAAAGGGGTTCTCCAGATTTAAGAAGCAATCAGGTTTTTGTTACTTTCTTGTAGTTCTTACTTTCTTCAGAAGCTGAAAAGAAAATTGTAGTGGCTTATAATTCTTAACTGCATGCATCCATGCATGTTTCTTTTGCCCCATGCAGAGACAGGATCTCACGATAAGCATATCGAAAGAATGCTGTCGGGTAAGCATGATGATGTTATTGAAGCTCTGTTGTCAAAAGTACGTGACAGATCTGAGATTGACAGCAACCCTGATATTGCTGAGAATGGAATTGAATCCTCCTCCGTTCAGGCAACAAGCTCAGTGAAACCCAAAGATGGAGGCAGCGGAGAAACTCAAAGTGCGATTGATATCAAAGGAGAGATGAAGATAGAAAATATAAGTGAAGGTCAGATGGAGCAACAAATAACAGATGACAGCAATGATGATGAGTCAAGCTCAACATCATATTCTGAAGAAGATGACCACACATTTAATGCTAGTACATCTGGACCACCCCCTCAAAATGCATTATCGAAAGTGAGACATGTTCCACCAAAACCTTTAACTTGTTCAGTCCCGAAGAGCAAAACTGTGAAAGAAGCTTTATATGAATCTAGCCCGTCTGCAAATGAAAGGAGCAGATTTGAAGAACGTTTGTTTTATGCAGAAAGGGGCACTTGTCATACTCCTACGTACTCTATAGCTTCTGACCTGCAGGTGGAGGTCTCAGAGCTTGGTTCACCTCCACTGACCATTGACGGGGCCAATTCACCCACAGATAGAGAATCATTGAACTTAGATGGGGACTTTGAAAGAGAGTATGTGTGGGCAGCCTCATCTCAATCATCCAGAACAGAAGAAAATGAATCAAAATCGAGGGGAGTATGGGGACTAAGTGAGAAGGACCTTGCAGACATAAGATCTTCAGGAAACAATAAGAACACCAAGGGTGCTGCTGAATCATCCATGCCTTTGCAACAGCCAGAAGAACTAGATGATGCGTGTTCATTGTCATCTTCAATGACAGAAATTTATGGAGACAGTCAAGTCCATTCGGTGAATTCTGATGGAAAGATCCATGATGATGTCAGGCAAGTAGTGGAAGAAGTTGGGAACCCAAAGACTTCTAGCTCATTGAATGCACTTTCGCCCGAAAATCAAGAGGAAACAATGAAGTTGACAGATAAGTTGGTATCTCATCCTTCTGTAAATTCAGAGGTCAGTCCAAGTTTTGAGCAGTCCAAATTTCACTAATTTATATAAATCTTATAGTAATGGAACAACTATCCTTTTTTCCTAAAAGACAGTCTATTAATCTTCGACATGCTGATACATCTTCCTCTCTCTGATCTTTTCGGATATTAAACAGGAATCGTCTAATCCTCCTGGTGAGACTACAAAGAAGGTGAATGTTCCAGCAGCCAACACAATTGATAACTCGAAAGATGAGAAGAAAAATACAGACAGAGACAGTGGAGCCCAGATATCGACTAAGAAAAAGTCTGTGAGAGGGCTATCAAAACCAAATGAGGGGACTATTTCAGAATCTAACAGGCATTTGGAGAAAAGTTCGTCAAGCCACATTGGACAGTACACAACCAACGAAGGACAATGAGAATTCAAACCATAGTGAGGGAGGTCTTCAAAAGGTAACTGAAAAGGAGGGCAAAAAAGAACTTGAAGCTAAGAAGGACTTGAACCCAGTTCAAGGCAATAAAGATGAGCAAGGCACTGCACAAAGGGGAGTTTCTGAGGTAAAGCAGATATCTGGTGATCCCATTGCATCAGCTCCACAGAAAAATTTGGTGAGCAAAGATGTTCCTGTTAATTCGACTTCATCGTCATCTCCTACGTCAGTGTTGCTAGAACATATCCCAAAGGACCAAGTGTCCTCATCAATTTCTAACCCTGAGGATGCCTCAAAATCTGAGGTGGTTGACAAGGTGAAAAGTAATTCATCAGAAGAGAAGCCGCATGACAGTACGCTGTTGGCACCTCAAAATGTAATGCATTCTGTGGAGAAACCAACAAATCAGCAATCCAATACAAGTGATTCTAAAACATCACAGGTTTGTGACTCTTAAGCAACTAAAGATACATTATTAGATGAAAGAAAACCAGTGGTACATGCTTTTGATCAAATTATATGATTTGTTATTTCTCTGGTGACATGATCTCATGATGGGTGGGATCAAAATCCTAATTAAATTAGACTGGTTGGACTCATGCTTACATCTCATATTGAACAGGAACCAGGTAAGCCTCCAGAGAAGTCCACTGAGGAAATCAACATCATATTGAATAAACAAGCTGAAGATATTGGGAATTTATCACAAAAAGCAAAAGAAGCTGCTTCAGTATTAAAAAAACAAGCTGATGAAGTTGAAAAGGTTTCACAAAAAGCAACAGAAGCTGCTGCTGAACTCCAAAAACCAGCTGAAGAAACAGGAAATATGTCACAGAAAGCAACAGAGGCTACTTTAGATATGAAAAAATCAGCTGAAGAAATTTGCAGTGCATCACAAAAAGCAAACGAGGTAGTTTCAGAGATTAAAGTACCAGCTGAAGGAATTATAAATGTATCACAAAAGGCAACAGAAGCTGCGGCAGAATTAAGAAAAACATCTGAAGAAATTGCAAATGTATCACAAAAGGCAACTACAGTAGAATTAAAAAAACCAGCTGAAGAAAGTGTGAATGGATCAAATAAAGCAACGGAGGCTGCTGCACAATTTAAAAAACCAGCTGAAGAAATTGAAGATGTATCACAAAAAGCTAGAGAGTCTGATGCAGAATTGAAGAAACCAGCTGAGGCAATAGTAAATGTATCACACAAAGCAACAGATCCCACAGTAGAATTCAAACAATCAGCTGAAGGAGTTGGGAGTGTATCCCAAAGGGAAACAGAGGCTGCTGCACAATTAAAAAAACCAGCTGAAGAAAATGAAAATGTATCGCAAAAAGCTTCAAAGGTTGATGCAGAATTGAATAAACCAGCTGAGGAAATTAGAAATGCATCAGAAAAGCAAACAGGGGATGCTACAGAATTTAAAAAACCAGCTGAAGAAATTGGAAATGCATCACAAAAAGCAACATATTCTACTTCAGATTTGAAAAACCCAGCTGAACAAATAGGAAATGTATTGCAAAACACAACAGAAGCTGCTTCAGAATTGAAAAAAGTGAGTGATGAAATTGGAAGTGTATCAACAAAAGAAACAGTGGCTACTGCAGAGTTGAAAAAGCCAGCTGAAGAAGTTGGAAGTTTATCACGAAAGGCGACAGAGGCTCCTGCAGAACTAAAAAGGCCACCTGGAGAAATTGGAAGTGTATCACAAAACGCAAATGAGGCTCCCGTACAGTTGAAAAATCCATCTGAAGAAATTGGAAGTGTACCACAAAGAGCAAGGGATGCTCCTGCAGAAGTGAAAAAACTAGCCGAAGAAACAGGAAATGTATCACAAAAAGCATCACAGACTGCTGCAGAATCTTTAAAACAAAGTGAAAAAACTGAAAATTTATCAGGAAAAGCAATAGAGGTTACTGCAGAGTTAAAAAAACCAACAGAAGAAATGGGAAATGTTTCACAAAAAGTAAGAGAAGGTCCTGCAGAGTTCGAAAAACCGATTGAAAAAATTGGGAGTGCATCAGAAAAAGCAACAGAGGCTGCTGCAGAATTGAAAAAATCTGCTCAAGAAATTGGAAGTGGAAGTGCATCACAAAAAGCAACAGAGGCTCATGCAGAATTGAAAAAAGCATCGGAAGAAATTGAAAGCGGATCACAAAAAGGAACAGAGCCTGCTGGAGAATCCAAAAAACCAGCTGAAAATATTGAAAATGTCTGGGGAAAGACAGCAGAGGCAACTGCAGGGTTGGAAAAACCAGAAGTTGGAAGCACTTCAGAAAAAATAACGGATACTGCTGCAGAATTGGAAAAACCAATTGAAGAAAATGGAAATGTATCACAAAAAGCAACGGAGGCTCTTATAGAATTGAAAAAACCATCTGAGGAAATTGGAAGTGTATCACCGAAAGTGACAGAGACTCCTGCAGAAGTGAAAAGGCCAGCTGAAGAAATAGGAAAGGTATCAGAAAAAGCAATAGAAGCTGGTGCAGAATTAAAAAAAACAGATGAAAAAGTTGAAAACTTACTAGAAAAAGCAACAAAGACTGCTGCAGAACTGAAAAACCCAACTGCAGAAATTGGAAGTGTTTCACAAAAAGCAACCAAAGTTTCTGCAGCTGAAAAGAGTGGAAGTATATCACAAAAAGCAACAGAGGCTGCTCCAGAATTGGAAAAAACAACAGAGGTTGCTGTAGAGCTGAAAAAACCAGTTGAAGCAATCAAAACTTAACAAAGACTCTATTGAAGATACTGAAACTGTATCACGAAAAGCAACCAAGGTAAACAAAATATATAGCTTGCATTTTTTCTTTTGTATGAATATGACATTCTTTTATGTGTAGAAAACCAGCAGAAAGTAAACACAATATATAACCTAACATTTCACAACATTATTTTTCATTCTCTTTCCAAACAACTGAAGGAAACCTATATCATATGCTTTATGTTTGCATAGAGGCAAAAGAAAGGAAGAAAAATAGAAAATAGCCATAATTTTCCAACAAGGAGATAATTGGGACTAATAAATGCAAGCTTTTGTTAAACTGAACAGGAACAAGAAGATTCTCCAAAAAAGAGGCTTGAAGTTTTAAATGAAGTTGGTGATCAAGTAGTCAGTTGGAGGAAGACTAGAAGCAGTTAGTGTATAGAAGGAGGTAAAGGTGGACTTCATCAAAGCCAGCTGATGCCAGAGGCAACTTGGAAGCCATCAAAGATGTAGAATGTGAATCTAAAACTTCAGTGAAATATGAACAGGCTGTTGATCGGTCAAACTGAACAGTAAAAATAGTAAAATCATCTGTGCAACTGCTGTAGAAGGATACAGAATATAATGCTTCAACAACTGTTTACCAGATTCATTTGGGTTTCCGGAAGAGTAGAGCAGGACTATTTAAATGTTTATAATCTGTAACATGTCAAATTTCAATTGTCTTTCCGCTTTTCTTGTGAATTGAATGTGGATATCTACTTTGACAATCTATGATGTATATCTCTTCTATCTCATATAAATCATATAGCTATGAAGGCTGAATATAATTGAAGGTATTCAACTCAACTGAATCAAATCATGATCCAAAATAATTATAAAAGTTTATCTATATTGCTTATCTATGACTCCAAGAAAGAAAAAAGTCTAAATTCTGATCACAAATGAAAGAATTATGCATAGTAAAACAAAAACCCTTTTTCCCAGTCTCATTTTTTCCTGTTGAGATCAGACACATTGTACTCTCTAATCTATCTGGGATGAACAGAAGATGCCCAAATTACCCTTGAAATTGTTATTTTTAATTTTCTGTTTGGAAGCCCTCTGGCAATCACTTTACATAACTGTAAAAAAAGACCGTCATTTACATCAGACTGGAGGATAGAGTAAGCCAACAACGAGTCCCCTCTTCCAAACCATACATGCAAAGATTGGTGCTTAGAGTTAGAGAAAAGTGGGCAAGCTTAATAACTGCTCTATTAGCCTCGAAATTAGTTAGCAAACAAATGACCAATTAAGCGTAGTATAGTAAGCAGCACCCACAACACAACAAGAAGAAAGTTAGATTTGACCTCTGATTATTTAAACAACGCAGGAAAGTTGGTGGCATCCTCAAATAGGTAGGCAGTAATATAGTACTGTAGTAAATTTACTGCAATGCGACTGTACAATCTACCACTTGTCAAAAAAACTAGAAGTTAGAACACTTCAGTTCTATATATACCTGGGTTGTTCAACTGAAGCTGAGAAGAAGAAGAAGAGATTAGCTTAGCTCAAGATGGACAAAGTAAAGGACTTTAATTGCATATACAGAAACCCCAATGAACCCATTGAAGCTCGAGTCAAAGACCTTCTTTCTCGCATGACTTTGAAAGAGAAGGTGGGCCAGATGACACAAATCGAGCGCCGGGTCTCCACCCCAGATGCCATTAGAGACTTCTCCATCGGTACCCATCTGTTTTCTATGCATGTCTTTAAGTTCCTTTCATGTATTTTATCAAATACTTGAAGGACAATATCTGTATTTCCTTATGGCAGGGAGTGTACTCAGTGCTGGAGGCAGTGTGCCCTTTGAGAAGGCCTTGTCGTCGGACTGGGCCGATATGGTCGATGGGTTTCAGAGGTCAGCTCTTGAGTCACGGCTCGGAATACCACTGATATATGGGATTGATGCGGTTCATGGGAACAACAGTGTGTATGGCGCCACTATATTTCCTCACAATGTTGGTCTTGGGGCCACCAGGTTAGCTTTCTTCACTCTGTTCCTTCCCTTGATTTTTTTTTTACTTTACTGGTTGTTGTGGACGCTTTGTTTGGTTCCTAAGAAAATGTTGGAAAAGAATTGAAATTTATGTTTGGAGTCCATACTCATGACTCAAAGGATGCAAGTACGTTAATTACTGGAAACTGAATGACAAGAACAATGGATCAAGATTTCATCTTTTCTGGAAGGCCAATTTTGTCTTATTTTTTTAATTTATAATCTTTTAATTTGTTTTGGCATTGAGTTAAAACTGAATGATATAAAGAAGGAACACAGAAACAGAGAAGAAAAAAGTGGAGTTAAATTGCTGAATTATAGACTCAAAATGCAATGTCTCATTAACCCTTTCTAGAATTACTTTACATCTTTCCGGTTGTTGGTGAAACAAAAGAGAGGGAGATTTAGTCTTGTTAGTCCTCCATTTCCTAACTTTCTGACTCTGACAGAGATGCAGATTTGGTTAAAAGGATTGGTGCTGCAACTGCTCTTGAAGTCAGGGCTAGTGGCATTCAATATACTTTTGCTCCCTGTGTGGCTGTAAGTCATTATGGATGTAATCAATTGCAATTTCTATACAGCTCATCAGATTGCATGATCATTCTAAAATTTGTTTCTTTTGCGGGAAAAGATGCACTTGTGTTGTTGCAATAGCTGTGCAACTTATGTGGATGATCATATCACCAGTATATTCTTTTTTGAATGGATTAGTCAAGCAATTCACTTGAATGGGTTCTGACAGGTGTGCAGAGATCCCAGATGGGGAAGATGCTATGAAAGTTACAGTGAAGACACTGAAATTGTTAGAAAGATGACGTCTATTGTTACAGGCTTGCAGGGGCAGCCACCCCAAGGGTATCCAAAGGGCTACCCTTTCGTGCTGGGAAGGTATGTAGGAGTTGTTAGTTGATAAATTTCTGGGTATACTTCTTTGGTCAATCATATTTCATCTTTAAGCATCATTGTTACAGAGAAAATTGAACTGTCCTTTTCAAATACTATTTTATGTTAATGATAAGGGAAAACAAAGGAAAAAGAATACTTTCTGGAGATTCACTTAAACACCGATGAGACTTTTTCCAGAAAACTTGTCTTCCTTTTTCTACGTATACATTGTATCTAAAATCATGTCATGAAACTTTCGTATTGTCCAATTCTTTGATAATTATATTATATCAGTCAAGTGGTCAGCTTCTGTACTCAATTTTTCATCTTTCCTGCTAACATATTCATAGCTTGATCTTGTATTCCAATACTAAGTCACTGTAACTTTCTTGTACAGATTAGAAATTATTTCTGAAGTTCCAATTTTTTTTTTTTAAATTCCAGAAACAACACTATTGCATGTGCCAAGCATTTTGTTGGAGATGGGGGTACACATAAAGGTCTTAATGAGGGGAATACCATATCATCTTATGATGACTTAGAGAGGATTCATATGGCACCATATCTGAACTGTATTTCTGATGGAGTTTCCACTGTTATGGCATCCTATTCCAGCTGGAATGGAAGTAAACTACATGCTGACCGCTTTCTCCTGACAGAAATCTTGAAAGATAAGCTAGGTTTTAAGGTAAAAAAGGCAGATAATGAGTTTTTTTTTTCTTGGTGAGCAAGATGAACCCAAGACCTACCCCTACATACCTATCCATTGCCTTATTAGGTAAAGCGCAAGTACAAGAAAGTACGTCTGTAAGCCTATTATTGACTTGGTTCTATTTCCCCTCAAAGTACAATTTTATTGGCATAGATTCAATAAACATTGCCATTTTGATTGATTATTGATGGCTTTCTGGTCTCTTGATATGCTTCCTACTTCACTTGACGTGCCTTTGCTAACATTAGAATGATATAGTGAAATTCAAATCAATTAACAGAGGCACAGTATTATTGGAGTTAGATGTGACTTTCATATATTGTTGGTTTATTTGAATGTAGTTGCTGTAACAATGAAATGCTGTATATCGGAAAAAAATTAACAGGGTTTAGTCTGCTGTAGGGTTTTGTGATTTCTGACTGGGAAGCACTTGACCAACTTTGCGAACCTCGAGGTGCAGATTATCGTTTCTGCATTTCATCTGCCGTTAATGCAGGAATTGACATGGTAGATATTGAACTCCAAGTTTAAAAGCCTAAGTTATTTATTGATATCCTTGATTTTTAATTGTTCATCTAATTTACAAGACGAGGTATGCAGGTGATGGTGCCTTTCAGATATGAACAATTTGTGAAGGATTTGGTATATCTGGTCGAACATGGGAACATATCAATGTCCAGGATAGATGATGCTGTTGAAAGAATTCTAAGAGTGAAGTTTGTTTCCGGTCTTTTTGAGCATCCCTTCTCTGACAGATCTTTGCTGGACATGGTTGGTTGCAAGGTAAGTTTGCAGAGCCAGCGTGTCTTACATTCACCTCATTCAAGAACGCATGCTTTGCATATTACCATTAGAAGGTTGCTTGTCGAGCATATTCTGTTTTAAGAATATTACCCCTAATTTGAGGCATGGTGGACTTTCTATGCTTTAAATGTACCAACTGTTATACAAAAACCGTCCCGGTCAATTTAATACCTGAGATAGAGTTTTTACTGTTATTACTATTGTACAGCTGCATAGAGATCTAGCACGTGAAGCAGTTCGCAAGTCCTTGGTTCTTTTGAAGAATGGAAAGGATTCAAGGAAACCTTTTCTTCCATTAGACAGAAAAGCCAAAAGAATACTTGTTGCTGGAACACATGCTGATGATCTCGGATATCAGTGTGGAGGGTGGACAGCTACTTGGGATGGTCGCAGTGGCAGGATCACAATTGGTACGGAACTTTGTTATTTTCCCAGGATTTTAATACTAGAAATGGGTATGCATGATAGTATTAATCAATGTGACATTATGTATGATTTCATAAGACAAAGTCCATAGGCTTCTGTAGACATAGTTTCCAATAAGTTTCCTGATTCAGGTTATTGAACCAAAATCTGCTTTTTAAAGAACTGTCACAAATAAGAGGTTGTGAAAATTATCTCTTCTTGGGAATCTAGCAATGTGTAGTTAAATCATTCACCCAAAGGTTTTCTTCGGGGAAAAAAATCTAACAAGGAAATTTTGCTTCCTAGTTAGATGCTGTTGTTTTTCAACAACATTGTTAAATCTTACATTGAAATTTTGTAGAGAACAAGGGGTTCGTAGACCATAAATTTCCATGTTTATACCTTTTAAGATCGCTGTGATTGCACAGGCACACTTAACTATTTAGAAATTTACATTTTTAAGGCACAACCATCTTGGAAGCTATCAAGAAGGCAGTTGGAGATGATACAGAAATAATTTATGAGCAATATCCATCAGCAGACACCTTGGCACGTGAAGATATCTCTTTTGCAATTTTAGCTGTTGGTGAAGGACCATATGCAGAATTCAGAGGTGACAATTTGGAGCTTGCCATCCCCTTCAATGGAACTGATGTGATAAGCTCAGTTGCTGATAGACTCCCCACATTGGTGATTCTGATATCTGGAAGACCCTTAACTTTAGAGCCTTGGCTCTTGGAAAAGATGGATGCTCTTGTTGCTGCTTGGTTGCCTGGTAGTGAAGGAGAGGGAATAGCAGATGTGATATTTGGAGATTATGACTTCGAGGGCCTATTACCAGTGTCATGGTTTAAAAGGGTTGAACAGCTGCCGATGAATGCTCTAGACAACTCGTATGACCCTTTATATCCTCTTGGCTA